CTGTCCTCGCCCTTGTCCTGGCCCCTGTCCTCGCCCTTGTCCTCGCCCCTGTCTTCGACCTTGTCCACGACACTGTCCTCGCGCCTGTCCTCGACTCTGTCCTCGACACTGTCCCCGACACTGTCCTCGTCCCTGTCCTCGACCCTGTCCTCGCCCCTGTCTTCGACACTGTCCTTGCCCCTGTCCTCGCCCATCCTCGACACTCTCCTCGCCCCTGTCTTCGACACTGTCCTCATCAGTCGGGTTTGTGTCACAGATAATATTCCTTATTTTTTGAAAAACAGGAATTTGCTCGTCTGTTGCTGTGGTGTGAATGGTCTTTATCAGCTGTATGTATGCACTGCTTCACATTTTCCACAGCGAGCTGGATTGGAATCTTTGTCGGGCTGACTCTGGCCCGCGGGCCTCATGTTTGACACCAGCACTGAAGGCCTGATGTTCCTTCGGGCTTTTTCTGATCAGAAAGGAGAGAGCGCCTCCCACTGGAAGCCGTCAGTAAAGCAGCTCTGTGTCGGACACAACTGTGGAAGCACCGCAGAAACTCACGTGGTAGGCTTCGAGGCGCATCCTCTTGGCAGCGTTGCGTGATTCGCTCTCGCAGGCAGCAGCCAGGATGTTCTCAGCCATGGCCGAGGTGAGGTGAGGTGGAGTGGGGCGGGTCTGAAAACAACAGAAGCTCAGAGTCAGAGTCTTCGGGTTCATCATCACGTTCACATCACTAACATCAAGGAAAATCATCCACAGCAGAAACAAACAGAACAATTAATCAACGAGCTAAAAAAGCGATCAGCAGGAGAACATCAGGAGAACATCAGGAGTGATCGTGAGAGTGGAAGCAAACGTTCAGGAGAAGGTAGTCAAACCGCTTCAGCTCACAGCGAGGAGGAAAACAGAGGAGGTGGAGATGAAGAATGAGGGCACCACAGGGGGGATGCTGGGAGGAAGAGCCTGAAGATGGAAAATAAGAGGTTTACAGGTGGGAGAGGAAGATGAAGGTAAACTGATGATCTGTGAGGAGAAGAGGATGAGGAGGAAGAACCAGAATAAGAAGAAGATGAAACAGCAGGCGATGAAGGATAAGAAAGCGTAGATGATGAAGAATAACATCAGCTATCCAAGCATGTGTGTCTCCACCACCAGGGGCAGCAGAGACTGTGCCGTGATTGGTCAGTTTGTCCTCCACACTCTCATACTACATTTATGACGTTGACCTTCAGAGATCAGAGAGCAGCTTTAAAATGTTTCTACGATTTTATGCATGAGCTCAGCTGTGATGATCACCTGTGAAAGCTCCTGGCTCTGACCTTTGCCCTGCCCTCTGTGGACGCAGACGTGAGCACCGTGACAGAGACAGCGCTGTGACTGTGTGGGACACGAGCTCAGAGTGTCTTTGTTCCACTACAGGCACCTGTACCTGTTCCTTTGGTATATTATCCTCTTCATCTTTAGCCCCCGTCCTTCTGACCTTGTGTTTAGGTCACAGTGAACAAACCGCTTCAGTGCATCTGAGACCTTCACTTTAAATGCGACTCTACAGAAGTTCAACCATCCCAGCTAACCTTTGAGACCCGGTCCCCTCGTCTCGCAGACGCCCCCTGCAGGGACCTCCAGGGTGGAGCAGATTAAAGAAATAAGCAAAGAAGAAGAGCAGCGTGCGTGTCGCAGTACCTCCATGCCGTTCTTCTTCATGCGACGGCAGGATTTGAGGTAGGTGCGGATGCGCTTGCGGGCGCGTTCCTGGAACTCTGGGAACTGTCTGCTGCAGGACTCGATGATGGCCTGGATCTTCTCCTTAGGCTGCTTGGAGATGGGCACCATCCGATCCAAGTTCTCGTCCACAAACAGACGCACAAACATCTGCAGGAGAGCGCACACACACAGCAGGTAATGCCTACATGCATTGACACAGTTGATACACTGGAGAGGAGTAGGACAAAGACAAAGATAACAGCTGGACTGTTCTCATAACTCACCTGTTTAAATGGTTTTAAGTCTTAAAGTTTGCATTTTTAGGGGCGTGGCCTATTGACTGTCTGCTAGGCTGAACTGGACCTCTGCACCATGCTTGTGTTGTTGGAGCCTTTTGGAGCATTTTCTATGCACAGATGTGATCAGTACTGATCAGCATCCTCTGCTCCTCTGTTCTTCGCTCTAAGGAAACGGTCGTTGGATGTTTGGTCTCTGCTGGGCAGAGCGTGTGAACATCTGTCTGCAGTGCCTGGAAGCACAGCTAACGCTAGCTTTGATCATTTGGTAGATTGTGATGATAAAAGTGGATGAAGGTTCAGGTGTCGTGCTTTGGATCGATGCCTTGAACAGCTGTCCGACATATTTATCAGCATAACGTTTATTGATGGACGTCATTCAAAGCGTCCTCACTTACATTAAAGGCTTTTAATCTCTCGGGGTCGACGCCCTCCGTGTCGTTCATCTTGTCGTTGTCGTCGTGGTCGTCGTGGTCGTCGTCATCATCATCGGGAGCGCCCTGGCTACCATGACGCCCCACGGTCAAGTCTTCGGCGCTCAAGTCCATTTTCATGCTGTCGTAGCTGCCGCCTGAACTGTACTGTGGGGACTGAACACACACACACACACACAC